AACAGGTGCTCAAAAATCGTTTCACGGGTAACTGCAGAAATCCACTGGCTGTCTGAAATATTTAGAAAATGAGATGGCTGGCTTGCCGCCAGCTCCCCAACCCTGAAGCCACATAGGAGACACTCACAACATAGCGGGACTCCTGCTCTCTGTCCAGGGGCACTGTCACCTTTAGCCATCCTGCTTCTCTGTCCATGATAAACACACCGCAAGGAGGTTCATCAGCACCCTTGCCGGTGATACTATAGAAAACCTGGATTTCCTTGTCCTTGTTGGATTTGACCCGAAGACAACACAGAAGCAGAACAGCCAAGAGGGACCCCAGTCGAGTATCAGTCCCTCTACGTAGGGAAACCTAGAACGAAACCAGAATCCTCCCTTTGCAATACGTGAGCCACCATTTTTGGACATGGGCCTCTTCCATTCTCTGGGATGGAGATGGGAGGGATAACCCAGTCTCTCTTTTGCCTCCTGGGACCGAAGTGGGCATGAGGGAACGTCAGCACCTCCATCTCGTATCCAGAGGGAGTACCCTAAAAGGACAGGAGGTGAGGGACCATAGCACAGGCCTAACTGTTCAATGAAGCCAGCTCTTGTAAGCACCACACTGACCTGCTGGAGGGTCTTGTTTCATGTGGATCTCCCACCACCAACCCCAGCTTCTGAGGTGTCTTGGCAGCCCCATTACTGAAAGGCATCGCCTGAGCAAAGAGCGGCAAAACCAATGGGAAGTAGGTTAAAAGCACAGGGGACAGGCTTTGGGTCAATGCCCGTGATCCAGCCTGGGTGTCAGCACTGTCCTGTTCTCCTCTGCCCCCCAGAAAACAAAGGCCTCCACCTCCACCATGGCCTCCAGCGTTTCCCATCACCTTCCTCTGCAGGGGAAGGCTGGGAGGGGGTGCTCTGTGACATCAAGGGAGGGGTGAGGTGGAGTGAACATCTTCTCCCTAAATCCCGGAGGTCGAAGAACTTTCTTGAGCACGGAATGCACTGCATGTTTTAATCTATACCAAAACTAGGCCCCAGTCTGGTCTACAAACTCTTTCTGGAAACACCTTTCATGTCCAGTAACGGGGTTGGTTCAAGCACAGTCCAATCCTGGTCATGATGTAACAGTGAAAACTGCAAGAAAGGTGTTCAAGATACTTTGTAAAGGGAAGGAAGCAGGTGAGAGAGTAAGGGGCTCTGTAGTGTTTGTAAAAGGGAAATGTGCAGGTGTCCAAGTGTGCACACTTGTTTGTGTGTGACGAACAGAAAGCTCTAATGAGCTGTGTTAATTGACGTTCCCTCTGAATAATGGAGTTATGATACTGGGTGCTTTTTATTTTCTGTATTTTCTTAATTTTTAGAAACATAACAACTGCATATTATCAGAAAAAAACCCCAATAAAGTTGTTGCTGTTAAGTATGAGAGCTTTCGAAGTAAGATATTAAAGTGTGTGTATCAGAATGCTATAGGATTTTTCTCTGGGTTATGAGATTAGCAGCCTCTTAAATTAAAAAAAATATTTTAAAAGTCTGTCATTAGTAAATTTTGAGCAGTTTGATATATATATATGTGTGTGTATATATATATATATATATATATATATATATGTATATATATTTTTTTTTTAAAGCGGGCTTCACACCCAGTACAGAGCCCAGTGTGGGGCTTAAACTCCTGACCCTGAGATCAAGACCTGAGCTGAGATCAAGAGTTGGATGCTTAACTGACTGAGCCACCAGGTACCCCAAGCAGTTTGGTTTTTAAAGACAGCATCTGTGGGTGACACTCCCCCTAAGGACAGTTCTCAGAGGCTCTGGTTCAGATTCTGGCTGGGCTCATAGGACCGGGGCCAGACCTGTGGCCAGACCTGCGGCCAGGCAAGGCAGAGTCCAGGGGTCAAAGACAAATTTACTACATTTCAGACAAGCTGAGCTTCATGTGCCGCTGGGGCCCTGGTTCGGCTTATCCCCACCCTGGTTGTGGAGGGTGCTCTTCTGTTCTGAGTTCTCTGTTGACCGTCCTGGTGAGTGACAGCCTTACCTGCCCAGCTAGGTCCTGGAGCAAGCCGGCGATGTCCTTACCTGGGTGGCAGACCAGCAGAGCAGAAAGCAGGTGGGGCCAGCCATAGCTGGGGTGGCTGCTGCAGTCGCAGAGGGTATGTGGTGGGGGCCACGGGCCACCCTGCCCTGTTGTCTCAGCGGCTGACGTCCTGTGGCCCAAGGACTATTGACCTGCCCTTCCATGGCTATCACAGTGTCGGGGGAGGTGCTGGGAAGCCAGCAGGTGCAGAGGCCAGCCAGGTGTCCCTGGAATAGGACAGTGGCCTCAGCTAAGGGCTTCTCAGCTGTCTACCAGGGCACAGAGACTCGGAATCCAGCCAGCGTCAGGCATTCCTCTGAGCCTCCTCTTCAAAATGAGGATAATGGCTGCTAGCAGCTGACGCTTGAGAGGGGTATCAGCACCCAGCTCCCTTGCACGCGGTGACCTGAGACCAGGTGAGAGAGTGAGGGCAAGGCTGAAGTCACCGTGGGCACCCTACACCACCATTTTCACAGCACGGGTCAGCCCTGCTCTGTGAAGGTGGGACTGCAGCAGGGTGTGGATAATAGGAGGTGGATTTGAGGGGGGCGCTCTTGGAGGCTGGTGGTCACCCTGGGAATGGGGCTTGTTGCTGAAGGAGAGGAAGACGGAACAGATAGACCTCTCCTCATCCTGAATTGGTCAGCCTCCCAGGGGGAGTTCCGGGTCAGTTCCAGGGGGAAATGGAGGAGGGAATCACCTGGCAGTGTGTGGATTCTCCTCCCACTGTATTTCAGTGTGAGTTCCTCGGCAGCATTACCCCCACTCTGCCCCTCTGCAACGCCTCATGCTGAAGTCCCAGAACATTGAGGGTTCGGGGGATTTTTCAGCATTATGCTGTATAGGAAGAGAATCATCCCCTCTCCCCTTCCCACAGGGAAAGAAAGACCCCAGTATGCCCCTTCCTTTACAAAAGCATACGGGACTAGAGAAAATAGTAATGAGTATTAATTATTGAAATCCACATAGTTTATGTAGAGACTCTTCACAAAGCCTGGCACAGGGGGAGGGACAGAAGGGTCACTGTTCCAGGTCATGGGGTTTGGTGTCCCCTGCATGGCCCACACTCCTTTTGGTATCTCCTGGAAGGGTTGGGGTTTGGAATTCAACCTCCACGAAGCGGTTCTAGCAGGAACTGGAATGAGATATGCTTCCCTCAGAAGCAGGGAGGTAACTCCTGCAGGAGCGAAGTGATAGTGGCCCTCGTTTGTTGTGCTTCCTAGAACACCATTGCCTCCTCTCTGCATCGGAAGTGAGTTCTGGTTGTAAGAAAAGCTGTCAGCACCCTCACTTGCCCAGTAGTGGATGCGACATACTTACTTTGTGTTCACTTCCAGTCCTGCTACCTCCTACCCACTGTGTCCGTGGAAATTCTGTGCCCCTGGGGCACTGTAGACCTTATATGTGAATGGGTAGAGCTAGCAATGGCTGATGCTGTGCATATCTGCCCTGCCCCATTGTCCTTTCAGACTTCACTTACCATCCGTAAGTTTAAAGATAAAATAATTAAGAATTTCAAGATTGCCGCGGCTGTGCATTAAACCATAGGGTTTGCATTTATGCACAAATGCATTAAACTGCCAGGGGCCCAGGCTCGAGGAAAGTGTGCTGCAGAAACTGCTGAGTTTGGGCTTCGTGAACACTGTGTGTGGATGGGGCAGTGAGGGGGCTCAGAGACTCTGCACTTACGGTGCATCCATTTCCTACAGATGCTGAGCCCAGAGTCTGTTCTCAGCAAGGGACGGATGAGGGTCTTGTTTCACAGGTTATTGTCAGTACTGCCTGCCTGTGTTGAGAGGTTCTGAGCTGCCCAGGCTCAGTGGGAAGGGAGATGGACCCCCCACTTTGCACCCCAGACCTCACACCTCCTTCTCAGGGTAGCTGAGTCTGTGCAGAGAAAGCAGTGGCGCCTGACCAGTCTCTGAATCTGGCTCCCTGGCCCCTACCCTCTGTCTGTCCTCCCTTGTGCAGCACTAAGGCCCTTGAAGACACGGCCATTGAAAGTTGTGCGAGAACAACAAAGAGGGAGGGACTTGTATTCTCAGCATCTTTGTGCCAGGTTATGCCTGTGCTTATTCAACTTCGAGCATCCAACCGAAGGCTGGAGTTACCATTCCCATTCTCCGGATGATAAAACGGACACACACAGGTTGAGGATCTTGCCCTGTGTCACACAACTGGGGAGAGCAGAGCTGAGAATCAAACCCACTGCAGTCTGATATGGATTCCATATGCTGTGCACCATGAGATGCCAACCCCGATGGGAAAGCAAGGAGAGAGAGAGAAGCTGCCCCAGACGGAGCCAGGCGCACAGATGGGCATGTGCACATGTCTGCCCCTGGTGTTCACCTCTGAGGCTGCAGATGTGGGAGGGAAACTGGAGAGGAGCCAGCAGAAGCCAGAGGAGGAGGGTGGCAGCAGAGGGCAGGGGTCTATTAGGGAAAAACACCACACTTCCCAAGAGACCAGAGAATTCCTTTCCCTGATGAGTCTGTGTCACATCCTAGATTTCTCTCCCTGGCCCAGAAATTGATTCTTCAGTGCTCTAACTAGATCCACTCCTGACTTACACCTTTCCAGGGGTTCAGTTTTCCTGTGGAGACCTGGACCAAGAGTAGGAATTCTCTGGCCTTCCTGGACCCTTCTGCGTTCAGTGATAAGGGGGGGAATGAGGTGCATGATATGGACTTCAGATTCGTATGAACACAAAATTTATTAGAACAGGAGGCCAAAAAACCATGGAGGAGATTGCTGTTGACATCCCCAGAGCACTTAAGGAACCTTCCCCTGTTTGTATACCTCATCTCTTGTCCTGAAAGTAGAGAATTTCTTTAACCAGTTATATGTGCTCTCATTATATCTTGGGGAGTGTAAGGGCTCAGTAGGCTACCTCTGAACCTCCCTCAGAGCTGGGGTCTGGAGTGTGTGGTGGCTACATTTGTTCTTTGGTAGTGGAGATGCAATTTATTGGTAAAGCCTCTGTGTGTGTCCTCTGGTGTGTGCTGAGATGTGATCTCTGTGTAAAGCCTCGCCCACAGTCCCTGCAAACGTAGGGCTTCTCCCCTGTGTGTGTCCTCTGGTGTCTATTGAGATGTGATCTCTGCGTAAAGCCTCGCCCACACTCCCTGCAAACGTAGGGCTTCTCCCCTGTGTGTGTCCTCTGGTGTGTGCTGAGAAGTGATCTCTGTGTAAAGCCTCGCCCACAGTCCCTGCAAACGTAGGGCTTCTCCCCCGTGTGTGTCCTCTGGTGTGTGCTGAGAAGTGATCTCCGTGTAAAGCCTCGCCCACACTCCCTGCAAACGTAGGGCTTCTCCCCTGTGTGTGTCCTCTGGTGTGTGCTGAGAAGTGATCTCCGTGTAAAGCCTCGCCCACACTCCCTGCAAACGTAGGGCTTCTCCCCTGTGTGTGTCCTCTGGTGTGTGATGAGATGTGATCTCTGTGTAAAGCCTCGCCCACACTCCCTGCAAACGTAGGGCTTCTCCCCTGTGTGTGTCCTCTGGTGTGTGATGAGATGTGATCTCTGTGTAGAGCCTCGCCCACACTCCCTGCAAACGTAGGGCTTCTCCCCCGTGTGTGTCCTCTGGTGTGTAATAAGGACTGACTTATGACTGAACTCTCTCCTCAAGTCCTTGCAAACAGAGGGCTTCTCCTCTTTGTGTGTTCTCTGGTGTCTGCTGAGATGTGACCTATCATTGAAGCCTCGCCCACAGCCTCTGTATTTGACTCTTATAATTCTTGACATTCCTACCCCCATGAATAATTTTCCTGTCTCCTCTGGATTCAATTTCTGGCCTGTGCTGGGCTCTTCGTCCACCATTCCCTCACACACTGCAGAACTCCCCGTTTGTCCTTTGGATGGGGTGGAAAAGGCCCTTGAAATTCTTCTCTGCCTTACGCTTTTAAGCAAAGGTTTGAAACTTTCTTTGACCTCTTGACCTTTAGCTTTGTCACTCCAGCTCTGTGGATCAGAATGTTGCTGCCGCTGCTGATTCTGATCGCCTGGGCAGGGATCCTCTGGTTGGAAATATTCTCTTGCAGATATTTGTGGGAAGATCTGAGAAGGGTGATTGCGTTCCAAATGTTGGCTGAGGAATTTCTGACTGGAGAAGGCCAGAGAGCAGGAAGGACATGGATGTATCTCTGGCTTTGGTTCTGCTGAAAGAGGAAATTTTTGGTCAGGTAGATGTTGACACAACTGCCTGTGTTGTATGCATTGTCTCCTGGTAAGGCCGCCCCAGTACTCATTTTTATTGTGTTGACAGTGCAAACTCTGTCTCCTGCCAAGTGATCCTTCACTTTTCTATTCCATTTTTACTCACTACATCTCCCTCATAAATCCAGAAAGCCCATATCAAGGGCCTTTTCTATGTATCGCTCAGACTAGGTAACTTCAAGTGGCATCCAAGGCAGCTTCCTTCCTCATACAGATGGAAGGACAGTGACCTTTCCCCACATAGAAGTACCTTCTAAGTCGTATGACTCTGTGACAGTGTCTGTAGTGATTTCCTTCCTTTGAGAGGCCACAACTATCTTGATGACTTAGATGGAATGTGTGAGGAAACATGAACCTGAGTCTCCCCATTTAAAAAGACATATTTAACTGAGGACCAATATGTGTCTGGATCTCTATTAGAAAGTGGGACTTAGATTGGACGACACAGGGGCGCAGGTCTCCTGAACTAAAGAGCTCTGGTTCCTGCTGCCCCAACTAGGTTATAAATTGCTTCTCTTTTGGTTTTCCACAAATCATAACATAAACATATGCCCTTCATACTGTATTTATATCATTCAGTCTCAGCCCATTTCAAATACAATAGGAAGTCCTGTTGCAAAATATTTTCCCAACCAATTATGGGGATACATATCACACCCCCAGTTGCCATCTATCTTCTGCCAATCCACCGTCTTCTTTCACTTAGAGATGATGTAATCTTGGAGGGGATTCCCCACTGGAGTCTTTCTCCAAAATTAGCCAAAGAATCATCTTAGAGAACATGCCACTCTCCAGTTGAAAACTGCCCAGTTGTTCCATCTCAGTCAGGAGAACCCCCAGGGTGTAAGCGTGGACCACAGGCTCTAGGGCGTCCATGTATCTCTCTTCCATTCTCACACTCTATGCTTCCTCCGTCCGAGTGGTTCTCAGCCACACACCACCCACACCCCACCTCTCTTGGGCCTTGGGGCAACTGTCCTCACGGGCCCCCTCTGCCTGGAATCCTTTGCTCACAGGTGTTTGCACATCTCAAATGTTATCTCCTGAGAGAGCCCTTCCTTGTCCAAGCTCTGCTGCACCTCACCCTTCCCTCATATTGGTCCCCAGACACTTTCTGAGGACTCGTTTTACTTTCAAAGCACTAACTGCTGTGTGATGTTATGCATATGCATTCGTATGTATGTGTGTGTTTCCCTCATTCATTCAGTCATCAGCTGCTGAAGAGCAGTGATTCTGAAAATCTTGTTCAGTCTGTACCTCTAGTTCCTGGAAGCCTGTCTGGCACAGAGTAGGAACTCACATGACAGCTAACTGAATTATGAGTGAATACACACCAACATACACATATCACTTAGAAATATTGAGCAAATTAAGAAGAAAGAGCTAAAAGGGCAGAAGAAACTGGCTTGGTGAGAGGGCTGGTAGGTGATTGAAAACTTGTTTTTTGCCTCTAATTTTTTTAATCAGTATATTCTATTATATATTTTGAGCATGAAGTATTTAAGAAATCAGAACAAAAATTAAAAATTAAAAAATTGTTCCCAAGAGTCCAATGCATTTGAAATGAATCCTTATTTCTGAAACTTCTGAATTGCAATTGCACTGACTTTAGACAGGATTTTTCTCTACTTAAGAGCTGGACTGTGGAAATTGCCAAGGAGAATTCTTCCTTTTCTTTCTGTTTTGAAAAGCAGTGGTGCCCACCTTTCCCTGCCGTGAGCTCGCTCTTCCACTTGCTTCCCCACTTGATGCCCAGCTCCTGGCCATACTCGTCCCCATACCAGACCAGCAATTCGCAGCCTGGCCTGATGACCCGGCAGGTTCGGTAGAAGATCTGCCTGTGATATTGAAAGGCCACCAGGTTCTGCTCCTCGTCGTCCCTGGCACAGTTCACGTACCTGGGAAAGAGAACCACAGGAGATAAGTTCCCACTACCTGTCAGATCCACCCCTGATGCTGAAGGCCTCCATGCTGTGATGCTGCCCACTCACCCACTGCTCCTCAGGAAGGATCGGTTCATACTCAAGCCTCTGTCATGATATCATATGAATTCCCATCTCTAAGTTCTGCTTACTGCCCTCAGCCTGCCTAGAAGGCTTTCCCCCTTGTCTGCTTAACCATTTTCCAAATCCCAATTCCAGACTCACGGCCACCTTGATTGGTCACAAACCCCAGTGACATCTAGTTTCTCTAAACTTTAAATTATCTATGGTATAAACATAGAACTTGGTGCTTGATACCATAGAACTTGGTGTTTGATCACGGACTCTGCTTCTAGCTCACTACACATCATTCCATACTCAGCCCAGCTCTATCTTCCTTTGAGAGGCCTTTCTCCAGTCTCCCCACACTGTATCTGAAGCATGCTTCCCCCAAGTTCCCACAGAACCTCGGAGCTCTGTCTTTGCACAATAACACAGAAAAACAATATTTTATTCACATAAGTCATCCCCTGGTAACATGTGAGCCCCTCAAGGAAAGGGGCTGGATCATGAAACACAGAGGCCTGTGGCCATACTGCAGCCCATTTCTACACAGGCTTCCGAACCAGTTTTACTAGAACTGAGGCTAGGAAGAGCTGCTGCCCTCACGGATTAAAGGTCCCTTGTTTTAGGTTACTCCTACACTTTATACCTCTTGAAAAATAAGGAAATTATAGTTAAATATTCCTAAAATCAATTGTCTACTGTCTACCTGCAATATGTCTTCCATAGGACATGGGTTGCATAATATGTTTAAGTAATGAACTCCACTATGGAACATAGTAAGTGCTTATGAATACTGATTAGATAAATTAAAGTGTGAATCCAGTGTTCCTCATGAGTCTAGGCTCCTCCGGGTTTTTTTTTCAGTGTCCAAATTTTATCGAGCATATTTTGAGGACATATACTATGTTCTTAGCTCCTTTTTTCCAAAACCATCTCTTGAAATGAAAGAGCATTATAAGGAGAAAAAAGAGGAACAGAGGATTGAGGGAGACCATTGAGGGAGGCATGACAAGAAGGAAAGGAACATGGGTTTGTGAGAGATGAATGTCCTCTTTGGAACCCAGAACCCTATCGGCCTTACCTCATCCAGTTGGCCCAAGAGTTATCCTTTCCATCCACATACTCATAGCAGTTTCTCCCTTTGGTGATCTGAGTTTGAGAAAGAGAAGTTAAAGACTTTTTGTTTTGTTTTGTTTTGGTGGGGAGGTAATAGAGGGATTATTTTACTCTCTTGCAGTCAATACTCTTTCAGCCTGCATGGAATCAATCCCCAGTGTGACCACATGATGTGCTCCTTAGTCATCATCTGTACATCTGGGTCACTTTGTCAACGCAGAGCAGGGGTCCCGCAAGGGAGGAGCCTCCTGTTTGTTTCTGTATCACTGTGCCCCCTCTTACCCTCTGAGCTTTAAGTAGGAGCTCCAGGTTCATGCAAAGTCCACTCAGTACTCACAGCTAACCATGTTATCCCCATCCATGTAGAAGGTGATGTCTTACCAATCCACAGGAGGGATGTGGGAAGCCAGAAGATGGGGGAAGTAGTAGATGATTCTCACCAACCAGGAGTATCCGCTGTTGGCTGCCTCTTCATCTTCTGTGATTTGGCCCTCATAGGGGCCAAAGTGTAGACCCAGTGGCAGATCAGATGCTTCGTTCCATACTCCAAGCCCAGCCTGAGGGATGCTTGATGGTCTGATTCTCAGACCAGGGGGCAGAGTGAGGGCTGAGCGGTTGGGTTGCCCCTTGTCCACTGCACTGTCCTTTACAAATGTAGGGGGCCCATGAACAGCACAGCTGTCAATGAAGAAGTTCTGACACTTCTCACAATCTGGAGGTGAGAGCAACAGGGCTTAGGAAAGGGTTAGTACATGTTCCTGGACTTAAGTAGTTTCAGAAAGAGCCCAGCACTCACATCATTTAGCCTCTACCCTGTACTCCCAGTCACTAGAGGAAGGGGATTTGGGGACCCAAAGACAAGACGAAGTTACTGTACCAGGAGAGAACAACTTCCTTTGAGAGTGGGCCAAGATGGTCACTTACAGAGGTAGTCATCATCCTGGGGCTCGTTGACCTCTTGGTATGCAAGGCTCTTTCTTTCTCGTAGACTATACATCTTTACTTCAATGTCCTTTCTCCTGAGTTCTGAGTTGGAAAAGAGTATGTGAGTCAGGTTGGTGGGGTCTGGAGTGTTAGTCCCTGTTTTGTCAGAAAACGTGAAATCTCCTCCGATAAATTATTACCTGTCCTTCTATATACTCTGTTCTCTGCCGTCCCCAAACTATCCAGAGAGTAAGACTCCATATTGACTATAGATGGCTAATTCAATTTTAGTTTCTTCCCATTATCAGGTTAATCTTTGCAATCTTTCCTCTTAGAAAATGGTTCATTCATATATTTCTTCATTCAGAAAATATTTGTTGAAGGCACATGATATGTCAGGCATTGAACAAGGGCCTGGGCATTCAACACCAAGAAAGTATGGTCTTTATTATCACTGAGGGATTTATTGGACAACTTGCATGGGTCAATTATTTTATGTTTAATTTAATGCTTTCAAACAATATATGACCCATGCATCCTTATCTTCATTTTTCAGATTAGCATTCAGGGGCTCAGAGAATTTCTAAGATTTGTCCAAGGCCTCAATGCTAACTACAGGTCTCAGGTTAGTCTAGCTTAAACCCAGGCCTAGCCAAAGTCCATCCCACATACCTACATTGTATTCATCAACCTTTCTGGAGGAATTAGAGGGACTAAAAGTCCCCATATTATTTTTTCTTACCCAATTTTTGTAGGGAGTGATGTCCAGAGGTACTTGCTTCTCCAGGAGGGGACACTGGTTTCTGGCCCTGCTCTGAGCCACTTGTGTTCAGCAACTTTGCTGTTTCTGATAATTCCTTCAAACTAGATTCATTACTTGATGGCGCCCTGGGTATTCCCTTCAATGTGAGAGTCATATATTAAAAGACAACATGTAATTTCTTTAGTCCTTTAAGGCTTATGATGTGTTTTCACATGCATTACTTTAGTTAATACTTCAACAACCCTTGGGAATACCTGGGGAGTCTGAATACTAGAGGGAAAAGAAAGGGCATATGTGGGTATTGAATTCAAGACTAGAACCCATGGCTTAAGGCTCTTTCCCTTTAAATTTCTCAAATTTCTCCATAAAAGCGAGATTGAGGGAGGGAGATTACTTGGGAATCAGTAAGGTCTGTGAAAGAAGGTGTTGCGGGCTCGTAGAGGAAAACGGGATCTTCTATAAACTAGTGGACATTTGATGGAGGAGGAAATGTAGGCAAATGGAGGGGACAGCACACATCTGGAAAATGAGGTGACAGAGTGGAGAGAGGGGGAAGAAAGCAAAGAAAGGGTTGGCAGAAATATATCTAAACACTAAAAAAAAAAAAAAAAAGGATGCTAAATTTGCCATTTCCATATCCAAGAAAGAATATTTGGAATTAGATTAGCTAGTTCCTGTCAATTTTGTTTGAATTAGGTTGTACCCCAACTAGCTCTCTTCAGTTTCCTGATCCATAAATTGGTCTATGTACTAATTCTTAATGTTATAGAGAACAGAAAAAATCATAATGATCATCAAATTGTTTGGTGAGCTATTTGATATAGTATGAATATGAGATTACAGTCCTGTTATCAACTTACCCCCTCAATTGTCCCCATGTTCAAAATCTAAATCACAGATATTATTTTTAGCATTCCTTGACCTTCTTACTTCTAATTTAATCTGTAAATGTGGAATTACTCATGCAGAAAACATTGAGGGGCCCTCTGGTGCCTTAAGCTGGGCCTGGGACTTCTGAGAAGAAAGAGCCTGCAGTGCAGAGAGAGTCTACACAAATGATTCTGAACAAAATGAGAGTTGCCTAATGAGAACTCAGAGGAAGGAGTTGTCGCTTCCTCCTACAAGTATGAACATTTTAAATCAGTTCCAGATACCTATCTGGAGTTTCTAATGAATATTATGTGACCTATATGAATTCTTTAAGTCATTTTATTAGTTGTTTCTCAATCATCAAACCTGAAACTACTCAGGGCTGGGAGATGCTTCCTCTTATTAGAATGGGAGACTCTCAGGGTGGGGAGCCTATCTCCTTCATCTGGGATCATCCCAGTGTATAAATTGCTAGTATATTTGTAAGCTTCTCTTATTTAGAGGGTCTTAGCTCATCTCTCACTTGAGCATAATAGAAAAGGGAATCATCAAATGAATGATGTAAATTTTATAAAACTCTGAAAGTTTTAATGAGCTTGTAAGTGGTTTGGAGAAGGAGCCTGGGATTAGATTGCACTACCAATGGTACTGTGATCTCAGGTATATAATCAAACATGTCTTTGTCTCAATTTCCTCAGCTATAACTGGTGATATTTATAGTACCCACCTCATAGGGTTGTTGTAAGGTTTAAGTAAGTTTATTCATGTAAATGCTTAAAATAAAGTCTGAAGTACAGTGAAAATAAAACAAGTGGTAGCTAATATTGTTGCTGTTCTTAATAGCTATTAAAGTGATGATGATATTGGATATTGTGCTAAAGAGATCAGGAAAGGAAGGCCTCAACTCCTACTCTTGCCTGTGTTTAAATCCATGAGAAAGATTTTCTTGTCAACAGGTTTTGGGAAATACTCACCTTCTGGTGTTTATTCTGCTCCATTCTGAATGCCACCCAAGAAGGTCTGACTATAAAGTGATAAGAAATCAGTGTTTTGGTTGGTAAATATTTCCAAACTCCAGAGGCTCTCACTAGAGACACAGAGTTCTTAACCAGGGAGTGACAAGTACATGGATAATCAAAGGGTGATTGGAAAATGGTTTCTGAAGTTATCATCAAAGCCTATGCTGCTAATGGTGGCATGAACTAATTGACCTAAAATGTTAAAAAAAATAGACAAAACCTCATTTATGCTTCATCCTATGTTCATAAGTTATCTATTACACATATTAAAACATATGCCATGAACTTCTATGGCAAAAACACTCAACAAACTGAGAATAGAAAGAAATTACCTTACCATAATAAAAAAGTCTATCTCCCACATCACACTCTGCAGTTAAAAACTGAAAGCTTTTCCTCTAAGATCAAGAACAAGACAAGGGGGCGCCTGGGTAGCTCAGATGGTTAAGCGTCTGCCTTCAGCTCAGGTCATGATCCCGGAGTCCTGGGATCGGGTCCCGCATCGGGCTCCCTGCTCCTTGGGAGCCTGCTTCTCCCTCTGCCTCTCTCTCTCTCTCTCTGTCTCTCATGAATAAATAAATAAAATCTTAAAAAAAAAAAAAAGAACAAGGCAAGGATGCTCATTCTCACTACTTCTATTCAACATAGTACTGGAAGTCCTAGCTAGGGCATTAAAAAAAATCATAATGGGTATCTAATTTGGAAAGAAAGAAGTAAAATTATGTTTGTTCACAGATGACATGATCTTGTATGTGGAAAATCCTAAAGATTCCACAAAAAAGCCTGTGAGAACTAACAAATGAATTCAGCAAAGTTGCAGGGTACAAAATTAACACTAAAAAATTAGTTGCATTTAGGGTGCCTGGGTGGCTCAGTCAGTTGAGTGTCTGGCTCTTGGTTTCGGCTCCTGTTGTGATCTTGGAGTCATGAGATCAAGCCCTGCGTTGAGCTCTGTGCTCAGGATGGAGTCTGCTTAAGATTCTCTGCCTTTCTATCGCCATCTGCGATAAAATCTTAAAAAAAAAAAAAAAGGCACAAGTAAATGGAAACACACCCCATGTTCATGGATTAGGAGTCTTAATATGGTTAAAATGTCTACACTACAAAGCAATATACAGATTCAGTGCAAATCCTATCAAAACCCCAATGGTATTTTTTTTTTTTTGCAAAAATAGAAAAAGTTATCCTAAAGTTAATATGAAATTTCAGAGGACCCCCAAAGAGCCAAAACAATCTTGAGAAAGAAGAACAAAGCTGGAGGCCTCACACTTTCTGATTTCAAAATATATTACAAGGCTACAGTAATCAAAACAACATATCATTGGCATAAAGACAGACATATAATCTGTGGAACAGACTAGAAAACCCATATGGTTTAATAATCTTCATAAAGGATGCCAAGACTACAGAATGGGGAAAGGACAATCCTTTCAACAAATGGTGCTGGGAAAATAGAATAGCCACATGCAAGAGAAGGAAGATGCTTTAAAAAAGAAAAGCAAAGCTGGAGGCATCACAATTCTGGACTTCAAGTTCTATTACAAAGCTCTAGTGATTAAAACAGTATGGTACTGGCATAAACATAGACACATAGATCAATGGAACAGAACAGAAAACCCAGAAATGAATCCACAACTATATGATCAATTAATCTTCAACAAAGCCAGAAAGAATATCCAATGGGAAAATGATAATCTCTTCAACAAATAGTGTTGGGAAAACTGGATAGCAACATGCAAAAGAACGAAAATGGACCACTGCCTTACACCAAACAAAAAAATAAATTCAAAATGGATTAAAGACCTAAATGTGAGACCTAACACCATAAAAATCCTGGAGGAGAGCACAGGCAGTAACCTCTTTGACACTGGCCACAGCAACTTCTTTCTAGATATGTCTCCTGAGGCAAGGGAAACAAAAGCAAAAATAAACTGTTGGCACTTCATTGAAATGAAAACCTTCTGCACAGTGAAGGAAGCAATCAACAAAATTAAAAGGCAGCCTACAGAAAAGATATTTGCAAATGACATATCTGATAAAGGGCTAGTATCCAAAATATATAAAGAATTCATAAAACTCAACACCTCCAAAATGAATAATCCAATTAAAAAATGGGCAGAAGACATGAATAGACATTTTTCCAAAAAAGACATACAGATGGCCAACAGACACATGAAAAGATGCTCAACATCACTGATCATCAGGGAAATGCAAATAAAAACTACAATGAGATATCACCTCACACCTGTCACAGTGACTAAAATCAACAACACAAGGTGAGAAAGTGGAGAAAGGGGAACCCTTTTGCACCGTTGGTGGAAATGCAAACTGGTGCAGCCACTCCATAAAACAGTATAGAGTTTCCTCGAAAAGTTAAAAATAGAACTACCCTATGATCCAGCAATTGCACTACTAGATATTACCCAAAGAATACAAAAATACTAATTCAAAGGGATACAGCACCCCAATGTTTATACCAGCAATATCTATAATAGCCAAACTATGGAAACAGTCCAAGTGTCCATCAACTGATGAATGGATAAAGAAGATGTTATATATATATATAAATATATCTATACCTATATCTCTATATAACATATACATGACTATTAGCCATAAAAAAAGAATGAAATCATACAATTTGTAACAACATGGATGGAGCTAGAGAGTATTATGCTACGTGACATAAGTCAGTCAGAGAAGGATAGACACCACATGATTGCACTGTTGTGTGGAATTTTTTTTTAATCTTTAACTTTTTTATTGTTATGTTAATCACCATACATTACATCATTAGTTTTTGATGTAGTGTTCCATGATTCATTGTTTGTGCATAACACCCAGTGCTCCATGCAGAACGTGCCCTCTTTAATACCCATCACCGGGCTAACCCATCCCCCCACCCCCCTCCCCTCCAGAACCCTGTTTGTTTTTCAGAGTCCATCGTCTCTCATGGTTCGTCTCCCCCTCTGATTTACTCCCCTTCATTCTTCCCTTCCTGCTATCTTCTTCTTCTTTTTTTTCTTAACATATATTGCATTATTTGTTTCAGAGGTACAGATCTGTGATTCAACAGTCTTGCACAATTCACAGCGCTCACCATAGCACATACCCTCCCCAGTGTCTATCACCCAGCCACCCATCCCTCCGACCCCCCACCACTCCAGCAACCCTCAGTTTGTTTCCTGAGATTAAGAATTCTTCATATCAGTGAGGTCATATGATACATGTCTTTCTCTGATTGACTTATTTCACTCAGCATATGATGTGTGGAATTTAAGAAACAAAACAAATGGGGCGCCTGGGTGGCTCAGTTGTGAAGCGTCTGCCTTCGGCTCAGGTCATGGTCCCAGGGTCCTGGGATCGAGTCCCACATTGGGCTCCCTGCTCGGCGGGAAGCCTGCTTCTCCCTCTCCCACTCCCCCTGCTTGTGCCCCTCTCTTGCTGTGTCTCTCTCTGTCAAATAAATAAAATCTGTAAAAAAACAAAACAAAACAAAACAAATGAGCAAAGGGAAAAAAAGAGAGAGGCAAACCAAGAAATAAATTCTTAACCTTAGAGGAGAACACACTGATGGTTACCAGAGAGGAGGTGGGTGGGGGGATGAGCTAAATAAGTGATGGGGATTAAGGAGTGCACTTGTTGTGATGAGTGCACGTTGTTGTATGGAAGTGTTAAATTACTCTATTGTACACCTGGAACTAATATAATAACACTGTATGTTAACTAACTGTAATTAAAATGAAAACTTAAAAAAAATGAAGATGGACCTTTATATTATATCTTACACAAAAATCAACTCAGAATGGACTGTAGACCTAAATGTATGACTGGAAACTATAAAACTCTTAGAAGAAAACAAGGGGAAAAACCTCATGACATTGGAATGGGTGACAATTTCTTGTTTATGACCAAAAGCACAAGCAACAAAAGCAGAAAATAGACAAATGGAACCATACTAAAATTAAAAACTTCTGTGCAGCAAAGGACACAATCAACAGAGTGAAAAGGCAACCTAGGCAATGGGAGAAAATACTTGTAAAACATACATCTGTGATAAGAGGTTAATATCCAGAATATATAAAGAACTGCTGTAATTCAGTAGTAAAAAATCAAGTAACCCTATTAACAATTGGGTGCTATGGAATGAATTATGTGTCTCCAAAATATCCCTATGTGAAACCCTAACCTCCAATGTGATGGTATTTGGAGATGGGGCCTTTGGAAGGTAATCAGAATTAGACGAGGTCATGAGAATGTGGTCCTCATGATGGGATTAATGCCCTTAAGAAAAGAGATCCCTTTCTTTCTCTCTCCAAGAGCATGCATATACAAACAAGAGGTCATGAGAGCACATGGCAAGATGGAGGCTGCCTATGAGTCAGGAAGAGAATTGGACTACGATGGCACTCAGATCTTGGACTTCCAGCCTCCAGAACTGCGAGAAAACAAATTTCTGTGGTTTACACCACTCAGCCTATGGTATTTTATTATGGCAGCTTGAGCTGATTAATATAATGGCAAAAGGACTTGAATAGACATTTCTCCAAAGAAGATATACAAATGGCTAACAAGCACATGAAAAGATGCTCCATATCACTAAGCTCAGGAAAATGAAAATGAAAATTGCAATGAGATATTATCTCATACCCATTAGGATGATCACTATGGAAAAAACAGACAATAACAAGTGTTGGCAAAGATGTGGAAAAACTGGAACTCTTACACACTGTTGGTAGGAATGTGAAATGTTGCAGTCATCATGGAAAACAGCAGGGAGTTTCCTCCATAAGTTAGAAACAGAACTGCCATATGATTTAGGGATCCAACTTGTGGGTACATACACAAAAAATTGGAAATAGGATCTTGAATAAATATTTGAACACTCATGGTCATTACAGCATTTTTCATAATAGCTAAGAGATAGAAGCAACCTAAATGTCTATTGACAAATAAATGGATAAAGAAAATATCATATATGGACACAGTGGAATATTATTCAGCCTTAAAAATGAAGGATATCTTGTGATATTTTACAACATGGATGGACTTTGAGGATATTATGCTAATTGAGATAAACATCACATGAGTGCATGATTCCACTTATATGAGGTATCTACTTCATGGATATGGAGAATAGACAGGTTGTTTCCAGGGCATGGGGCAGGGAGGGGAGGAAATGGGGAGTTGTTGCTCAATTGGTATAGAGTTCAGTGATGCAAGATGAAAAAGATCTAAAAATCTGTTGTTCAAGAATGTGCATATAGTTAACAATACTGTGTTATATACTTAAATATCATTAAGAGAGTAAATTTATGTTGTTATTATGTTTTGTAACCAAAATGAAAACATTGAGTGGGGTAGGGGTTTTAGCTGAGTCCAGATAAAGCTGTGTAGATATATGACAAAGCATGGGGTATATGTTCCCTATGAAGACTTTCTTTTCATGTCAAAACCTTTGTGAACAACCAGACATTGTGTTTTCAGATCCCTTACACTAGTTTTAAGAGCCTAAGGAATCTGGGGTACCTGGGTGGCTCAGTCAGTTAAGCAGCCAACTCTTGGTGTCAGCTCAGATCATGATTTGGAGCCTCATGTGGAGCCCTGTTTTGGGCTCCGTGATCAGCGGGGAGTCTGCTTCTCTCCCTCTGCCCATTCCCCCACTCATGCTCGCTCTCTCTCAAATAAATAAATAAATAAATAAATATTTAAACAATATTAAAAAGGGCGCCTGGGTGGCTCAGTTGGTTAAGCGACTGCCTTCGGCTCAGGTCATGATCCTGGAGTCCCGGGATCGAGTCCCACATCGGGCTCCCTGCTCAGCGGGGAGTCTGCTTCTCCTTCTGACCCTCTTCCCTCTCATGCTCTCTGTCTCTCATTCTCTCTCTCTCAAATAAATAAATAAAATCTTTAAAAAATATATTAAAGAAAAAGAGCCTAAGGAATCAGAAATCCATAGATGGAATCATAGACCTAATCCAAGTTGCTTTCTCCAGTTTAGGGAGATCGACTCTTCCTCTAAACTCTCTTGTCTGAATAGCAGAAGAGGAAATGTTTCTCAGCTCTCTTTTGTAATGATTGCATCTGATGTCGTTTGCCTGATGCTGCTCTGGTAAGTGATATGTGGGAAAGATCAGGGAGACAAAATAGTTATCTCAAACACTCTTCCAGAATTAAGACAAAGAATCTGGTTCATTTTGGGGTAAAAAGATCATGTGTGTGGTTAAACATAAACAATTATGTATCTTTACATATGTTCATCATATTCTCTTCTAAGACATTTAATCCAATAACTGAATAATAAGAATAACGGAGATTAGCACTTTGGTGGACTTACAGTCTAATTAAGGTTTCTTTTTTCTTTTTTTTTTAAAGATTTTATTTATTTATTTGAGAAAGAGAGAATGAGAGATAGCATGAGAGGGAAGAGGGTCAGAGGGAGAAGCAGACTCCCCGCCGAGCAGGAAGCCCGATGCGGGACTCGATCCTGGGACTCCAGGATCATGACCTGAGCCGAAGGCAGTCGCTTAACCAAATGAGCCACCCAGGCGCCCCTAATTAAGGTTTCTTTAACTGTCCTTTCATTAGCTAATAATGTTTAGGGAAAATAGTCTTTTTTAAAAAAATGATAAATAGAAAGGTGTGGAGAATCATACTGGAAAACCTATATATCCACCACCATTCAGCCTTATCTCAACATTCTGCCACAACTATATATCTTTATATCTTTCTATTTTTATCTTTATATCTTTTAATTTCTATTTTAAAATTCAAAACAAAAATAAAAACAAACAGAAAAGTAGGGCGCCTGGGTGGCTTAATCGGTTAAGCGTCTGCTTTCAGCTCAGGTCATGATCCTGGGGTCCTGGGATCGGCCTGTTTTGGGCTCCCTGCTCAGTGAGGGAGTCTGCTTCTCCCTCTCCCTCTGCCCCTCCCCCCAACCCGGGCTCTCTCTCGTGCTGTCTCTCTCAAATAAATGAAATCTTTTTTTTTTTAAGATTTATTTATTTATTTTGAGAGAGTGAGAATGAGAGAGAGAGTACATGAAAGGGGGGAGAGTCAGAGGGAGAAGCAGGCTCCTCGCTGAGCAGGAAGCCCGATGCGGGACTCGATCCCAGGACTCCAGGATCATGACCTGAGCTGAAGGCAGTCGTTTAACTGACTGAGCCACCCAGGCGCCCTCAAATAAATGAAATCTTAAAAGAGAGAAAACTAGCCAAGACACAGCAAAGCCACCTGCCACCCCTTCCTTTTTCTCTTATGATAACTATTCTGAATTTGGCATTTCTTTTGTTTTTATACATTTACCACCTATTATAGACTATTAATGTATTTATAAATAATATAATTATTGTCCACATTTAAAAACTTTATATGAATAGCCTCTTACTATATAATATGCTGTTTTGCATCTTGCATTTATGTTGTTGAGGAAATAGTTTCCTTTGTTAACTCCTGAGATGCAGCTGAGACCAAAACCTTGGGTTTCAGGAGGAAACCTCAAAATCTTCCTGGCCCCTCACCTTGCTGCCTTGGCGTCCATTCTTCATCAGAATCCTCAGTGTCATCTACTTGGGGTTTGATGGCCTGCCTGCGGTGACACATGAAAGCTGGTCGAGGGGCTCTGAGACCTGGAAAGAAGCAAAATTCTTGTCCTAAAAGGGAAGAGCTAGAAGGAGGAACAAAGTACAGTGGCAATGGACAGCACCACCCAGTCAGTGTGACTCAATTGGATGAGCTGGTGGAGCCTAGAGCAAGGCGAGAGGTGAGCTCTGCATTGACAGTACGAGCCCTACACTGATAGGAAAGAACAAAATTTCGCTCCAGATTTGTCTTCACACAGAGGGAACTGTGAGCAGACAGAGCCTCCCAAGAGGCAAACTAATACAGGGACTGAAGGCCTGTTTCATGTTTTCCAGTCTCATCAGCACCCAGCACTTCTGGTTACCTATCGTAATCAGTGCTTCATAGTTCCTTTTCACATTCCTATATCGGATTTTCTCCCAGTCTCCCATCTCTGTCCATTCTTCCTTGGAGAAGTATATGGAAATATCTTTGAAAGCATCTCTGGCCTAGAGAAAATAAGAGATTCCGTCAGTGACTTACTAATACAAGTTGGGATTTTGAGCTGGGCCTTCTCCTCCACCTTAAATGTAGTGCATTCCCCCATTCCTCAGAGTGCTCTCTGTGTAGAGAGCTTCTCTCCTTCCTGATGGTGTCCCGATTAACTGAACAAACACTGAGCGTTTTACTAGCTCTCTCCTGACAAAGAGCAATTGCTGATGGTACTGTCCTGTGCCCCTCCCCCCAACCCCCATCCTGTAAAGGAGCAAGTGCCTCCCTCCTGTGTCCATACGCAGAGACGGTCCCCCACCAGTGTAGGCCAGGAGTCCGTGGTCCTCCAGGGACCAGCACCTTGTCACCAGGCCCCCTCCTCATCCTTCCCACAGACATGCTTGGAGTCCAGCTTCTCCCACACCTCTCACCGTGGGCTTCCATCCTGTTCTCCCTGAGTCTCTCTCAGGGGTCTCCTCTGGGGACCTGTTGAGGTTCATGGTGCTGGGACCTCCAGGCAGGCCTTGCTCTGACTCTGAGGCTGGCAATGGCCCCATGAGTCTCTCTGCCCCAAGGCCTGTGGAAGAAGAAGGTGCTGAGAGAGGGTGACAGCCCAGACCACTGCCCAGAGCCATGTCTGTCTTCTCCATTTGGGCGGGGTGTCCAGAACAAGAAGATGTGGGGACCCCAGAGAGGATTAAAAGATGCAGGGGAGGTCTGGGGGTATTGGTGGGACGGAAGAATCCCTGCTGGCAGTGACAGACTACCCTAACATGAGCTAGATTTTGTTTCTTTTATTCCACTGCAGTTTGGCCCATCTGAGGAAAAGGTGGCAAAGGCTCCTCGAAGGATGTGACTGTGGGTGTTTGATGGGAGTCCTGAGGTGCAAGGCCAGAAGAGCACCAAGGAGACCCGGGGGTCCCTGAATACCGCGACTGGGGACAGACTATCACAGCTCTGTTCCAGGGACAGGAAGTGAGTATTTCTCAGAGAAGGGTTTCTTGGGATATCCCCCTGGGGATTCTGGAAAAATCTGGTATAAACAGGCTCGATCTCTAAGGGACAGAGAGATCTCAGGGTGAGGGGATTTGGTCTCACTCAGGGTGAGGGGGTTGGGGTTTCTCGTGTCAAGGGTATTTGGGGCATCCGGCAGAGGACATTTGGGGTTCCTCAGGCTGATGGTATTGGCAGTCTCTCAGGACAAGATTTGGGGTCTTTCAGGCTGGAGAGATTTAGAATGCTTAGGTTGAGAGGATTTGGGATCTTCGACACTGAGGGAGTTTGAGGTCTCTCATTCTCAGATTTGGAGTCTCTCATTAATGGGCTTTAGGTTTTCTGACTCGGAGGTTACCTGGGGTCTGTGAAGCTGAAGGGATTTGAGAGTTCACAGGCTGAGGGTATTTAGGATCTCTGAGGCTGGGGAAATTTGTTCTCTGCAGGTGCTACATTTCGGGTGTCTCAGGCTGAGGGTTTTGGGGGTGCCTCAGGCTGAGGGCAATTTTTGTTACTCAGGATATTTTGGGGTCTAAGTATTAAGGGATTTAGTGTTTCTCTGGGTGAAGGGATTTGAGGTTTCTGCAGCTGAGGTGCTTTGGGGTCTCACGCCGAGATGTGAGGTCCCACCAAAGCAGCGGAATCGGGTTCCCTTAAGGAGGCGAGATTTGGTGTCCCTTGAGGCTGAGGGGATTTGGAGCCAGCCAGGGTGAGGGGATCTAGGGTCTCCCGGGTGGAATTTGAAGGTTTCAGAGTCAGGGTTTAGAAGGTTTTCACAGGGCACGGCAAAGGCCTCCGTGTTCCTGTCAGTCTCCCCGGTCTCCCTCACTGCCCACCCTGGTCTGGCGCCCTCGCGGAGCCCCTGCGCGCTTCCCGCCGGGTGCGAAGTGAGACGCCTCCCGGCGCGAGACACCGGCTTGTAAAGCCCTGTCAGGCAGAAGCCACCAATCAGCGCTGCAATCAAACTGTTCCCTCCAATTGGCGGTCAGAAAGGGTCTAATGGGGCGGAGCGTAGGGCCAGCTGTGTGTGTCAGTCATTGGCAGAACCCCACCCCCGTGGACGGTCCCGCCCCACCCCGCGGGGATTGGCTGCTCTGAGTCCAGGGCGTGTCTGTCAAGAAGCCCCAGCATGCAGGCGCAGTATGGCAGTTTTCATTGCTTCTTCTCTGTCCCCACGCGTTGGTGAAGGCTGCGCAGGGCAGGAGACCGAGCAGAGTATCCTGCATCCCAGGCTGAGCGTAGCGCATTGAGCTGACGGCAGGTCTTTAGGAGGGACCTGGCCATCCTGTGTCCTGACAAAGATTCTTTGCTCTACCAGACTTTCAGGCTCTGGAAGGGTCTCCTAGGCCATCTGTGCCCTTCCTTGTAAAATCCACCTTTAGCAGTAGCTATATATGACCATTTAGTATACAATGAATATTGCATTACATTCAGGGGACAACTATGTAATTCAGTAATGTGTGATGAGACAATGTAGAGACACCAAATAAAGTCTATACGGCTCAAAGGTTTAAACCTAACAAATGGAATAGTAAGTATATTAGAAAACCACTCGGAGAATTCTTTTTCTTTCTTTCTTTTTTTTAGAGCGAGAGAGAGCACAAGCGGGGGGGGGGGCCGGTGGTGAGGGAGAGAGAGAGAATCTTAAGCAGGCTCCATGCCCTGTGAGGAGCCTGGATCAGGGCTCAAGGTGGGGCTCCACGCAGGGCTCAATCTCACGACCCTCAGATCATGACCTGAGCCGAAATCAAAAGACAGACGCTTAACTAATTGAGCACTCAGGTGCTCCCACTCAGAGAATTCTTAAACTAAAAGTAGAAGTGGCATTTGTGAGTAAAAAGCATGTTTAAATAACGTAGGTCTAAAAGTCATCGGAAGTAGCCCTGGCTTCGGCAGCACACATGCTAAAAGTGGAATGATACAGAGATTACCATGGCTCCTGCTCAAGGATGACATGCAAATTTGTGAAGTGTTCCATATAAAAAAAAAAAAGTCATCAGAAGTAAGAAGACATAAATAAAATAGAAGAAAAAAAACCTGAAAAATAATACAAGTATTTTGCATAAAAATGAGGCATCAAATGTAAGGACAGTGGGTCCACAGAAGTGGGCCAGTTTAAGACCTACTGGCTTTCAGCAGATAAAACGGGAATAGTGTTTCTGGCCCTTACTAAGTTTTGATCACAAAAACATAACATGATTTCCTTGTACTTAAACTAGGCCTCCTAACTCCAGAATTCTTACCATGGAAGGACCACCAGATTCCAGGCAAAGTTGCCCAGCTAAGTGGACTACGGCCCCTGGCGTCATGAAGGGAGTGGCCGATCAGACCTTTAAGGGCCCACAGACCTCTCAAGTTCCCACGAGAATAGTGCTGGGTGGGGGTTTGGGAGTAGAGGGAACAGTGAGGGAGTGGGGAGCTTCTAGAAACTGTGAGACCATCTGTGTCGTGGCAGATGTTTGCGTCGGCGCAGAGTTGCTGGTCGATCTTGTGCAGGAGCATCTATGTGGTTCCTGTTGTTGGCGTCACTGCTCAAAGAACATGAGATTTTAAAAAGACAACATCTCGCTCTTCAAGTGCTCACCGTTAACCTTAAAAAGAAAGCTGCTAGTTATCTTACCAGCAGAAATGGCTTTATCCTGGAATAGCAGAGAATTGCAATCCAGGACTAGCAAACCACGGCAAAACCACAGGCTAGTTGTCGGAACAAGGGAGAGGGCTACTCTTTTAGAGGGGAGAAGGGGGATTTGGGAAGGCCATTAAAAACAAAATGTTCACTGGAGTAAAGGGAGTTGAAGTGTCCTAACTTGTCATTGACTGAGCTATGACTGTCTCTCATTGGCCAGGCTGTTGCTAGGAAACCATCCTTCCTCCTGCCGGGATAGTAAAGAAGTCGGTAAAGTAGGATGCACTTGCAAGGTGGTCTCTTTCTGTTGGATAAGATACAGTGGCGTAAAAGGACCCATTAAATAGCAAAACTAAAACAAAACTACGACACCTTCAAAAAAAACTTCCCAAACTAAGACTTGGCAACAAATAAGAAAAATTCAAAAGGATAGTGACAGAAAGAAAAGAAGCAAATGGGAAGGCATAATGTGCTCTCCAACAGAAATACTCAGTGTTATAAATACATCAGGTCTCCAGATGTTATTGTATTCCAATAAAAATAACAATTTAACTTGTGGAATTTTTCAAGCTGGTTAAAAATCTTAAAAAAAAAAGATTATGTGTAAAAATGACTTGAATAGCAAGGAACCATGAAAATAATTATGGGTGGGCTAGCCTGTCAGATATTAACATTTCTTATAAAGTTAATGTTGAAACTGTTTGGTTTGGCAAATACGTATATAGTCTTATCGATATAATTTAATATAAAATCTAGAAGTAGGCCCTGGGATGGTTAATTTTATGTGTCTTCTTCTTTTTTTTTTTAAGATTTTATTTATTTATTTGAGAGAGAGAATGAGAGATAGAGAGCACGAGAGGGAAGAGGGTCAGAGGGAGAAGCAGACTCCCTGCTGAGCAGGGAGCCCCATGTGGGACTCGATCCCGGGACTCCAGGATCATGACCTGAGCCGAAGGCAGTCGCTTAACCAACTGAGCCACCCAGGCGCCCCTCTTCTTTTTTTTTAAATAAATTTTTATTTTATTTTTTTAAGATTTTATTTATTTATTTGACAGAGATACAGCGAGAGAGGGAACACAAGCAGGGGGAATGGGAGAGGGAGAAGCAGGCTTTTGCCGAGCAGGGAGCCCGATGCGGGGCTCAATGCGGGGCTCGATCCCAGGACCCTGGGATCATGACCTGAGCCGAAGGCAGACGCTTAACGACTGAGCCACCCAAGCGCCCCAATTTTATGTGTCTTCTAGGGGGAGCCCAGGGAAGGGCGCCAACCTCCAGTCCCTAGGCCCAGGTCCAGGGGAGCGCGGAGCTCACAGGGTTCCATCACCTGCAGGCTTCCGAGGCTCCAGGGTCTGTCGGGGGGGAGGTGTCCGTGCAGGGGCCCAGGAGGTCCCAACCTATGGCCATGGGCAGAAACCCTTCCAGGACCCTCTCCTCAGCCACGGACAGCCCCAGTCTTCCAGAGTTCCAACAGCCTCTGCTGGTGGGTGTGGGCTGTAGGCCCCACGTCCAGAAGCCTGGTGAGCCCAAGTTGGGGCCTCCCTTTTGAGAGACAGTCTTTTCACAGTCCCTGAGGGTTTGGCAGTCCCTGTCACTATCTCTTCCCTCTGTGAGCACTGGCCTGGGGGAGCCAGGGCCCCCGGCCTTGAGGATGCACCATCCAGTGACAGCAACTCGGACTGGGATGAGCCCAGCCTTCTCTCCTTCTTCCTACTGTTACAGGGGTGCAGCGCTCTTGCCTCATGGAGTCCAAGAATGAATATTCCCGACACAAAAGGGTGAAGCAAAGTGAAAGCTTATTAAGTGAAGGTGAGAACAGAAAGGAAAGAAAAAAGCTCTATAGAGTGAGAGGGGTCCTGAGTGGGTTGCTAATGAGGGCTTCTA